GAGTCCTGATCACTCCTAACTTGTGTTCCAGTGGGTGGTGGGAGTCAAAATGCAAATGTTGGTCTGTGTGGGTGGGCTTGAACTGAATAAATTTCAAAAAATACAGATGTTTGATTTTTTTTATTGTTCCTTTAAATACAGGCATGAGATGAACACAACTTGACAGTGATCGTAAATGAAGCTTATTTCTAAAGAGGTTAACACAAACAGTGGTGTGAGTGCACATCATAGCAGATCACAGTGATGAGGCACAAACACATTACATTCAAAAATAAATCATTTTGTATTCATGAATGCCATAAATAAAGACAAAAACAATTAAAAATAAACTCTCCATGACTAGCAGAAGCCTTTACAGCTCTATGTCACGTACCTGCAGCTGATCAACTCTAGCATTGGCAAACATGAAAAGTACCTTTTAATTAAAAGGAAAACTCACATCCATATCTTTGATTTTTTTTCTACTTCGCTCCTTTTTTTACTCCCAACATTGAGAGAAAGCCATCGTTGAAGTCAAATAATTAAAAACTGCTTCAAACCAAAAAAAAAAAAAAAAAAACTAAAAATGCTGAAACTGATGTGGCTGTATTTTATATTTTACATACTTAAAGAAAGTTTGCAGGTGCTGCAATATTTATTTACATAATAACCTGCAAATAACTGGAGATGAAGAAAAAAAAGGAACCCAGTCCACTCAAAGAATGTACAATCTAAAAGAAAAGCAAAAACACATTTAAAGTGTTTAAACTGTCAATACTTAGGAATCATTATTTTCATAACAAGCAGCTTTTTTTTGAAGTAGTGTTTGATGGCTTCAAACATATTGAAGCAAACTGTAGCTATCGTTACACCAGTTAAAGGGTCTAGAAGGTACCTCTACCAATGTGATGTTTTAGAACAGCATATAACCCTGCTGCCGTGGGCAGTAGAACCAATAACCAATTTGTGTCAGCCTGGTCAATTTTAAAATTCTCAGGGTGGCATCATGTTGGAGGACTCTCCCAGAATCCCCAAGTCATGAATAACATCGATTGAGGACGACACAGCGATTGATCCGAGCCGTCTCATTAATGGGGAGGAACTCAAAACGAGGCTGGAATCTAGGAGATGTAGCCGCAATAACTCCTTTAAAACAATAGATTCAGTTTAGACTAATCACGGGATTTTATTTGTTTAAGTGGACTTTCTAGTTCCTTTAAGTTATGGCTACAATATCTACAGGAGCTTATTTTATTTTATTTTATTTTCAGTGCACATATTCATCATCGCTTATGTCTGAGTCATCAGCCTCCACCTCTCCTTCGATCACTGACTTCTTCCCTCTGCAGCATGACACCACCAAACCAATGAGGAAAGTCTACAGTAAAAAAAATAAACAAGCAAAGCACATTAGCAAATAATTCACAGGCATTAGATGGATGAATTCCAGCAAAAATGGGTAAAAAAATCAAGCTAATAAACACTGTTTTCTGAGCAGCATTTCCCACATGCCTCATCTGTGTACAAATGACATCATGCATTTCTGCTCTGCTTCTAATATGCTTTATATCATTATTGTCTTTTTTAATTTTTTACGCAAACAAGCAATAACCAAATTATATTGCTATTAATCAGTGAAAAGATTTATTTTTTGACTGTGCTTTTTCACGTGTTAACAAAAATGTCAAATAAATATAAGGATGCTTTATTAAAGTCTTTTAACTTACACCAATAAAGACCCAGTTCCCAAAGTAGTAGATGGTGCTGAAGAACCAGAACTTGTGGAGGAAAAGGTAGGATCTTGTCATAATGCACTGATCTGTAAGAG